GCTACGCCAATGTAGCTCGTTCAGTTGAAGGACTCTCCCATAAGCCGGGATACGTGGAACCCGTAATATATAGATCCATTTTTTTACTATTTATTTATGTTACATGCACCGGGGGCCGATTTTTAATAAAAAGACTCACTTTCCACCGAGCGCGCTCTGTAATTATAGGCTGAAAATTAAAACGGATCACAATGTGAAAAAACAAAGCGATCGTGGCTTCGATCCGAAGAACCTACAAGGAATCGTGGACCTAAACACAGTCTCAAGGTATATCGGAGTTAATAAGTTGCCGCCCAGTTATTTCGAGTATGATTTACGGCGATTTCTGAGCAGCTGAGGGGTGAAGAAACTACACAGGACCCCATACGATTCACCTGTCGCATTGGATTAACATTTCGGTTTAACTACTTCCTGTCTTGCAGATGTCTCGCGCGCGCCACCCATTACTACTAATTGACCCATGTACTTGTTCCTAACATTTTGATACCCGCGAAATCGGTAAACGACGCTCTATTAGCTCTCGAACACCCTGGAACACGTTAATAAACCTTTTGATTTTTCAAATCTACACGAATCGATTTTTTTGCCTTGAAAGGAAAACTTGCTTAGCCTCCAACCGGAAAATTTTAAAGGCTTTCAAAGAGTTCCTGACTTTGTGATTTAAATGCCACTTTGCAAATCACATAACATCGTGCTTCTGATGAGGTCTTTGATCCTCCCCGCTACACCAACCTCCCGGTTGCAATGTTTAAAACAAGGGTTTCTGCAGATGAATGTTGTGGTTCTGGATGTTATTCTATAGGATGTCTCAAAATCAATTAGACACGAAGTTTTTTTTGCTCAAATACCGACCATGCAACAACAGGCAACGATCAAACCAAAGTAAAATTTTGTCTCAACTGTATGTTTGTAAGGGATCATTTTCAGTTCATTTTTCCGTAGATAGTAAGCTGAGTTATAGATAATATTAGGCGTTTTTTAATTTAATTTCTAAATTGTAAATTTTATTAAAAAAATTACTTAGAACGTCTGCATGAATTGCACTACAATAAACAATTTTTTATCATTGCACATAAGTTGTTAGAATTCTCTGTGAGCATATCTGCTATCATTATTGGATAATTATGTGAAGGTGATAAATCGGGTGATTGTGATGGACATGTATTTTTGGTTCCCAATTTTTTTCAAAGCAATTTTGATTTTTCACAATTCACAATGTGTTTTGCAGTTTTATAGCAAAGCTTAGAAACATTAGCTTTAATTTTACAGAAAAAAAAACATGTAAGCTTATGTACAGCGTTTTCCGTATCGTGGACGAGATAACCTGCCCGCATTAGTACTCATTGTTTATACAAATTAATGCTTGGATAGTCAATAGCAAATACATATCTGAATATGCAGTGCGCAAAGCAAAACTCTTACATTAAACTACACATGTATATTAATTCGGAATTGGTTCCCCATTCAAAATTAAGGAAAATAGGCGCGACACTTGCGACACCTCTTCAACAACTTTCGCTTTCTTAAAAGAATTAATTTGTTTATAATCATATACACACCGCGGAATTAACGCAGATTTTGTGTATGTTCGACATTTTTGTACATTTCAAGTTATCAACAGCACAATATAAAAAGTAGAACGTTTATTATAGGTATTACATACTTAATAAAATGTAGCCAATAATATGTTTAAATAATATTAAATAACCACGTTTCTTCTAATTGATTAAAATTTATTCGTACCTTTTCAAAGTCAATAACACATCATTTAGAATGTGTCACCCCGTATATTTCTGAAGTGTGTGTGTGTGTGTGTGTGTTAAGTTTTTCGAGCGTCACGCAGTTATTATAATGTAAAACAGGCTGATTGGAATCAAACTCTTGTAATCGTTCCATATTCAATAGATTCAATAATCCAGTGAATAAGCCGAATGAACAAAACAGTGATCACATCGCAGCAACAACAAATAAAAAGCCGGTATCAGATCATCGAGCTGGAGAGCTTAAAAAGCCAAAAAGCTCAACCGTAAAGCAAACCGAGTAGGACAACTCTCAGCGACTGTCTGCGAGTGATTGACACGTAAGGCATTGATTGACAAGTCGATTGATGCGATCGATCTCCATCAGTGTAGATCACGTCCAATACAATGGCGAGCCTTTTTCGGTTTTCGCGATTTTTCGAAAGCCTGACTGCATTTTGCTCGAGCATGCCGAACAATGGTCGAGTTTTTCGCTCGTTCGCGGAATTTCATGATAATTTTACCGATTCAGAACGAGCGAAAGACGCTCAAAGCTCAAAGACGTGGCACTGCCATTAATAAATTGTGGAACTGAAAAAGTCCCTGTAAAAACGGTGAAAGGAGCCGCAATTAAAACGCAATTTTAACCTCGGGTGCAACATGAAATTCGCTTAGCCAGCCATTTAATTTCGCACATCACAAAACGAAGAAAACCGGACAAGAACTGCCGATAGTCCATTAAGAAAGGCGTTGGGCATAAATCTCGTTTTAACATATTAAATTTTCATCGATAGGTAGGGGTGGATCGAGGTAATCGATGTTAGTGACCAAGCAGTGGCGTGACGTTCCATGAAAAATTGCAGCTTGAATTGGCTTTCATTCGTTTTCCTGCTTTTGCCGTATATAATTCGATGTAAGGTCTCAATCAATTTATGCGCCGTGGCACCTTAAGTTATCAGTAACAGACAAAATGTGGTGCCCTTTCTTCACGACAGCGTAATCAGAAAAACCAATCGGGAAATCAAACCCATAACAGAAAAACAACCATGAATCCTGTATTAATGAACTGTGAACCTAGTGAAGCAAAAGTGTTGCCTTGCCTTTGTGAGACTTACTGAAAAAGCATTTTCAAATTCAGCATTGCTGTTATGCAAAATTAGTAGTTATTCTATGGTCTTGGCAAATTTTTTCAAAAAAAATGGGTCAAAAGAACCTTTTTCTTGGGTATCTTGCCTCATTCAATGCCTCAAGGCAGAATTTCCTCACGCTGTCTATTACAGATTCATAGGGTGCTCTTATGAAAGAAATGATCTTCAACAAAAGGTAATCAAGAGCTATAATCTACAGAGTTTCCTACGGCACACTTGGCTCGAGCTATATTATGAAATAAGAGCACTCTTTACCAATCGGTCGTTTTGCAAGACTAATATTTTTGGGGCGAAATACCCAAGAAAAAGAGTTGAAAACATGAAGCCCTCTTTTTAGTCCATTTGAGCAGCTTTAAACTGAAAATCCGCCTAAAAATCGAAGGTTTTTTGGTAAATACTTAAAACACGTTTCAGAGTTTTTGAACTTCGCAAATTAACTTCTAGAATAACCAACTACGATTTAATGTTCAAATTAATCGAGAAATATGTGTTCCAAGGTTGGCGCCAGAATACTCATGAAGGTCATCGATTTATCATAAATTTATTTGCATCAACACAAATAATATTTTTTTTGTGGATTTTTTATGACAACCATGTAAATAATTATTATTTTGCTTTCTTATGCGTTTGAAGACACTTTATACTGAAAAAAACGATAAAAACGAGAAAGTTTACGAGTAATATCTAAAGATTTCGAGAAGCGAGCGCATCAAAGTTGAGCAGAAAAAACCTTCCAGAAATAGGGACTCCAAGCAGGAACATTGAACAATGATGTTCAAACCTTTTATCCCAGATTTGTTTAAAATATATATAATTTTTTTTTAAACTTCAGAAAGTTTTCGAAAAATCGAATTGAGAAAACAATTAATGGACGCGCAAAAAACTCAACCAAAGATTAATAGAGAAAACCCTCCCAGAAAAGAGTATTGAAAAATTACAGGAAAACATTAAAAAATCCAACTTTTTTATTACAAAGTTTTCACGGGAGAAAGGAAGAAACATTTGGAGAATAACATTAGAAAACAATTTTTTTCTTTTAGTTAGCTTTGCTTTGCCCCAAAGTTGTGCTCAAGTCAAGGGAAAGATAGTTGGCGGGTATAAAAAGTGAACATTCTCGAATTTTGTGAAAATATTCTTCATAATTCGGCGCAAGATCACAAAATCGCTTATGATGTAAATCGCTTTTAGCTTTTTTTTTAAACCGCATTGCACTAAGTATTTGTTGAGCGGCTGGACATTTTTTCAAGAATAAAAATGACGGTTAAAAACCTTTTCGAAAAAATTTAGTAAATTTGCAAACCGGTTGTCAAGTCGGTCAGAAAAGACAAATTTGTGCAGGTTCTGACGGGGCATAAACTTCCAGCTTTTAATCAAAAAGATAAGACACCGATTTAGATCCGAAAAAACACGCTAAACATGATAGGCGGTTTGATGTCGTTGTGTCGCTAAACTGAAGAAACAAGTCGACGCATAAAGACAATTATCTGGAGAAAATTTAACTAAAATATGAAAAAAAATCTAAAATGAAAAGTGAAAGGTGGAAAGAGCTTTTTAACAATTGGTGCTCCAGCAGAGAAATAATTAAAAAATCCATTCTCTTAATCTAAAGAAATTTGAAGATCACTAAAATACAGTTTGCATGATGACAAGAAGTATTGTTTATTACAAGCAAATTAATTCTTACTGATCACCGTAGAAGTTGGATAAAAAGAAGCACCCGAACTACGTATGGATAATCATTGAAAGGTTTCGCTCAGATTTTCCTTGATTTCTAACTGTCGAAAACTTCGTATGAACTACATAATAATTTGAAAATGGGTAAATTTCTACTGTTCATATTTGGCATATTTTTACGAAAAACCATACGTTTCTAACATCAAGCTGCAATTTCAAATGTTAATTATTGCTACCAACAAAACTGATCTGCAGTCAGCTGCGCTTCAAATGTAATCAGTTTCCTCGTTAGATGATCCTAGATTTATGCTTCCTGCTTCAAATACACTCAATTCCCTCAAAGAATATTCGTTTCTTTTTCAATAAAATGTATACACAAGTCAGCACACAAGAAAAGTTTCAAATCCTTAATCGTTTGGCACAAACTCAAGCCACAAATCTTTTATAAAATCGATTATTCTGTCTGAAAGTGTGAAGTTCAGGCAGAGCCAACGAGTGTGCAAAAATCATGGTTTGTGTTGATACTTTCCAGGGCGATTTCCAGGCCTCACTCGTCGTCTAAAATCAGGAGCAACACGCAAAGAATCCATCAAAAGCAATGCATTTTCGCATTCAAGTCCCCGAGCCAGTAAAAATGTTAAAAGTGCTGGCGAGTTAGTAAATATGCGGATACCCGGCCAAGCTGACAGCATATTTTAACTAACCCGCGAGCCCGAGAAGGTTTACATTGGCCCAAACACACTCGACAAGAATAATTCAGTCCCAGACAAAAACCTGCATATTTTCGCCGTGGCTGTCGAGAGCCACCGTGCTCGCCTGCACCTTTAAACGAAGACGAACGCCACCCTGGAATCGAGGTAGATGTCCAAAATACATAACAATAGGGGCCAGGACCGAAGTTTCACTTTTTTCTAGCCTCCAGCCTTTCCTACTCTCTTTCAACAGCTTCCAAAATGCTATTGAGTTTTTCCTACTAAATGCATCTATTGTCAAAGCGGAGGATGGAATATGAATTCGAGTCATTCACCAATCATATTCACAAAATATTCAAAGACGACATTAGTACATATTGCTACTATTGTCGGGGCCTTTTTTGTGTCGATCTGAAGAAACAGTGTTTCCCAAATTCTTCAAGAATGTAAATCAGTCCCCTTTTGTCAAAAGCTGCTGCAACTAATGTTTTATTCAGAAAGTAAAGATAAATATCGGTAAGTGAATCTTTTGATAATCTCAATCCAGCTTCCCAACTAATTGCACAGATAAAACGTGACTTCGAATTTGCTGAAGACACATTTTCAAGATTGGCATGGAAATAAGAAGAAATTCAACATCATATGAACGTTAACGTATAAAAGGCATGTTCTGAAGCCAAGACTCATAAACTCTCTCTGTAGATATAAGTTTAACAACGAAGATTAATTTTTGAAATTACATGCAGATTTCATTGGAAGAAATGTAGAGAAAATTCTCGATCATGAATCCACATCGGTATAAACAAATTGTTCGACAAAAATGTACATATTTTACAATTAGCTCGAGAAAATGTGATAGTAAATTTTGGTAGATAAGAAAACTAGAACGAAAGGTCCCCAAAACATTGCATATGACTACAATTAATTGATCATTTTTTTAATAAAAATGTATGCTAACTTTGATACTGCTAACGAAAATGTAATTGTAACAACACAAAAAGGAATAGTGTCTTGAAGTAACAAATTCAGTCAAATTGACATGGACTTGTTTCTAAAATTTGCTGTGTCCATTTGTCGATCAAATATACATTCATTTATTCAGCGAAGTCAAATTGGGCTGAATGCAAAATGACCAACGGATAGTCAACAAAGAACAAATGCATGTTAGACAAAAATGTTAATGTTAATCGACTGATTATTTGCATAAAATGTTCCCAATCAAACCCAAACATCTGATTAAATGTTTGAGAAAAATAATTTACTCCAGCTTTCTGGACGTTGAACAGGGGACAGTTACATAAGGTGATAAGAAGGTTCCACTCTGTTGGAGGAAAATAGCAAATATTGAAATCAAAATGTTTACTGAGAAGCGATTTACGTTTCAAAATTGCCGAAATAAAGCCTCGAATTTACAACCAGGTTAAATACAGCAAAGGAAACTCAAACCATCTAAAACAAATCAGCAAAGTGAAACTTTGTTGTAACAAACAACAGCTGAAAGTTTACCTATAAACCATACAATAGTCTCATAGTATTAGTTGAACATCTTTAAACGTGAAATAAAATGAATAATAATAAAAATACAAGAAGTAAATAACGGTTATTTTAAGAAGGCTTGAGCTTGATTTTTATGAATTAAACCATCACCAAATGGTTAATTGAGTAATTGAATAGCAGATACCTCTTTAATAGAAATAATAAAATTTTCTGCAAAATCGTGCAAAAATAATATCGTCAAATCCCGTCCTGTTTTGCCGGGTTCCTAAAAACAACAAAGACGTTAAATCCATTACCATAATGAATTGCAAATGTCTTGTTTCCCCGTTTTCTTGTATGCAAAAGACAGTTTTAATTAGCTCACCGCAAAAACTGTCACGAATTACGAATTTTAAGTAAATTATTACACGGCCAAGGCAAATTAACGATGCCATATTCGGATTTAAGCAGTCAACAGTTGTGGATCGGAGTGCGTTGCCTTCGTTTGGCTTATTTTGAGTGAATTTATAATAAATTGAGTTTTGGACTGGGTTAAATTCTCTTAGCTAGGTAGGCGGCTGCAACTAGCTTAAGATGTCTGGTATCAAGCAGAAAGTAAAATTCCTCTGCAAGTGAGGACTACAGAGAACAATTTATTGTGCCTTTTTTAATTAAGATATATAAAATAGTCATAAATCTATTTAATTCAACCGAATATTGAAAAAAATAGCATTCAAAACATAAAATTCTCAGAATCTTAACGTCTAAAGGTAAACACTGAAAGAAGAATGACCTAGATTACCACACAGAACTCGATGTCTATTAGTTAATCACACTGTGCTCCGATTAATTTATTATAGAAAATATTTCACGGTATAATTGTCTATTTATTTGCTCTTGGAACCAACAAAAGGCTGCGCATTTCGTTTCAGCCAGCAACATCGTAATCAAGCCTAATGATCGCCGATTTAGAAAGTCAAATTAGTCCATATATAATGATTTAACATTTAATATGTGGTCTCATGAATAAATCAGCCGAAGCCTCACTACAAGCTGATACATGCAGTTTATGTCAGCTCGCAGGAAAAGTTCGGATTTTATTGAAAATGTCACATTAATTGAAAAAAACTCTTCCATGTAGTTTACCAGGCAATTATTCGGAATCGATATAAAACATGTTTTGATGTTGTAGATCGGGTCGTTGAGACAGTTTTTTTTTCGTTGTGAATGGCGTTTGTATGGATACCGTTGAAGAGCGATTTAATGAGAGTGAACTAATAGTTGATAAACTACTGCCGACGTAATGGGTTCAGTTTTTCACAGAGAAAAACTTTGAAGAATTATCGGCAATAATATTTATCGACTTTATTAATTATCAATGATCGATATTTAAAGTGCTTTCAATAATTTATAATTTCACACACACTTAATACCTAAATATGCACCAGTCGTTAATGCAAAACAAAAATTGTTGTTCAAAAATTGTTTATAAGCAAGTGAACTGACCAGAAATTTTATCTGGTAGAAAACACCTGTTGCAGCAGAAAATGATAATAAATGGTTAGATGGTATAGCCCCAACACCCATAACAATCTCTTGGTTAGCCGGAACGTTGTCCCAGTCCATTGAAGGGAAAATTTATGGCTCATCGTTGATTATCCCACATAAAGCAGTGACGATTTTATTGAAATTTAATGTAGTGCTTTGTTAAAAGCCCAAACTTTCGGCATGTCGAATGCCCCAATAACTCAGTTTCTGAGCTTGAGCTGGAAAAAGACTGCTGAAAGCTACATAATTAAGTCTTTCTGTTTCTTTTTTGGCACAAATCGGTTCATTTTCAAGCATTTAGGTCAACAACGAAATTTCCATTTGGAACAATGGCTGTCGCAACTTTGCTAGCTAATTAGTTTCATGTTGCTGGCGATCTTTTCCTTTGCAGCCTTTTGTTTCGACAAAATTGCTAAATACCCCATCCCGATTTGCATTTTTCTCGGCCAGTTTAAATGCCCATTATACGCAAATAACGGTCTCGCATTACGTAATTGATTATTACTTAATTGGCGCGCATATTATAAACAATTAATCCGCTAATTAATTTCGTGCGTGCAAAAAAGTGTAATCATTGAGCGGCATATGGCGAATGGATAATGGGGCTCCTCATTCGCAATAAATCATGGATACTAACAGTTAAGTTGTGGAAATTCATGTTTTGGAAAGGAAATTGGCCTTGGCTATGATTGCTACATGTTTATGGCAATTAATAGGTGATTCGACCAGCTCCAACATCAAACTGTGCAGTTGGACATAGTTTTTGTTTAATTATTTATTTAGTAATGGTTGCCAGTCATCGGCAAGGGCACTTTTGCTGAAATTTGTAAACAACAACAACAATAGAGGTAAAGTGGTTAACAATAATGGAAGTCTGAATACTTATACTTTACTCAATAAACATATGGAATTGGCTGATTCTAATTGACTGACTTTGAGTGTTTCAAAGGAGATATCCTGGCAATAAGTGGGGCAATTGGAAGATTTTTGTCGATATATAGTCCTTTTCCAACTACTTCCTGAATCAGCCAAATCGGCTGTTAAATTGGTTTATCCCGTTTTTCTATCGAAAAGATCATCTGCCTTGAACAGTGAAACCAAAAATTGCTCTCGAATTTATCAGAATTTTCAGCAATTATCCAAATAAATTGCTCAAGAAATCAATTTTTTTCCGATCTTTTGATAAATATGCCTGTCGTATTGATCGGTTTAGGTAGTTGATTTTCGTCAATTCTTTAAATGTTGCTGAATGTTTCATTATTTCCTATATGTATAAGTTAAGTAAAGGTACTTAGTTGTTTTGCGAGTGGTGTGATAGAATAACACCTTTGCACACATCATGGAAACTTTCATGATAATATTTGATGAATATGATGAATAAATGGGGACAGTTATTATTTGAATTATTTTTAAAAACAATTTGGAAATGCCATTTTTACCAGTGTTTTGGAGAATAATTTACAGATCTGCTCACAACGATTCGGTTGCTTCATCAATCGGCAAATTTAAATATAGTGTGAGCTTTTTTTCTACTAGATGTTTATTTTAAATCAGCGGATTCTTATTATATTTGTGCATTTTACATTTTCACAAAGTTGACTCAACATTGTCGCTGTGCAGAAAAATTGTTTATCTTTCATCTAAATATACATTTCCACTCTCAATTATTCAAACATTACAAAAAATATCGCAGTGCAAAATGAAAGATCAATTATCCGTTATCCGTGCGCAGTTGATTGTGCTTATGGTATTATCATAATTTAACCGAATATGAACAACACCCTTTGAATAACAGAAACGAAATGGCTCAAGTATGACTTGCAACGTGCGATCGGACCCATTATGGTATAAGTCATTAGTTGTTTCGTTAACAAGTTAACAAGATGGCAGTATTATCGGGACAATCTCCGATCGACGTATTGATGATGGTACGGTACCATCTCTTCGGGCCTCCGGAACATGTTCTCGTTTCTTTCGACGAATCCGTACAAAATTACAGTCATAGACCCGTGTATCTACCAGACCTGTAGTTGGGTTTTTGTTATTTGTACACAAAGAGGTTTTTATTACAGGGAAAATAACAAGACGATCGTGCCGTCCGACGAAGAAGCGATTCGCATTCTTTGGCTTTTTAACTTTGCAGAGGAAATACCCAGTTTTACCATCCGACTCCGTATAAATAATTAAGTGCGAGCACCTTTAAAAATACCCTGAATATCAGTGTTTGATTTTACTGCTGGTTATAGAATTCCCACGTCCTTTGGGGAGCCGCAAAAAGTATTAAGCAAAAAAAAACAAAATTGAAACAGGTCAGGGAACTGAAAAGGCAACAAATTAATTAGATGTCAACCTTGGAGGCTTATATGGGTCTCAATAGCGGAAATATTAGCTGACGTTCCGCCTTAATTGGATTAATAAATTGTTTTTTTTTCTCGTGGTAAATTCGACAGTTAGGCTGAAGATTGAAAACAACTACTTAGATAATAAATTAGTGTC